GAGGTGACAAGTTTCACCAGTTCCTTCTCCTTCCTGCACTTCCCATTGTCGCTAAAAATGTGCCCCAGAGCGCTGGAGCGAAGGAGGAGGTTCTGGGGGAAAGTGAAAATGAGCCCCTTCTCCATTTCAATCCAGGCGGGTTTACTCACATCTGTGAAAGGAACAAATGGCATGGTGGGCACTGAGACTGGCATTTGTAAGGGAGAATGCAGGGTTGGGAGGTGTTTAGAAACCTTTCCCTTGTTAGCTGATTCTTTCCAGGAATTCTCCTCCTAGGCTGTTTTTAAAGACTGCCCCCATGGAGTTTCCTAAGTCCATCTGTAGGGAAACAGTGGGGAGAAGATGCATTTGTAGGGGTCCTGGAGGGGTTAACCCCCTGTTGCTTCCATTCTTCATTCCACCTCAGTTTGGAAAGGGCTCAGCTGTGATGGACACGGGTTACAAGGTCCTGCTATGCGCTGGGCCTTTCTGAGGGTTTTACACTAGTCAGGTTCCACAGGAAGTTAGGAAAGGGAACAGGACAGCCTCACAGAGAATCCAGGTGGGGCTGAAAGTCAGAGAAGCCACCCTGCGTGTTGCTCCCACCAGTATCAAACGAGGACTGAGCCTTATGTTAGGGTTGGAGTTACTTTAGACTAGCCAGCCCCATGTCCATATTGGCCAAGGCTTTTTCTCATATAGAATTCTAGTTTGTTTGATCATCCCAAGGCTGCAAAGTTGTGAGGGTGGTAGACAACCTCCTTTGGGTGCAGGTTTCATGTCCCTGAAGTCTTCCTGAAGAACTGAGCTTTGAGAAGGTGGAAGACTGATGAGGTCTTTCTTCACTCCTTAAGCAATTTATGAAGAACGAAGGGCTGGGATCCTTTGATGACAAGATTTGCAGATTCTTGTCTGTTGCACTCACCTGGTGGTCTTCCCTTGTTCATGCCTGTGTTTCCTCGCATTCCCATTATCCTTGTAAATGCAAGGTTGGACCTCCTGTGTGCTACATAAATTTTCAGTAGCACTGTTCTTAATGCCTGCGTTTGCCACCTCTTCTGAGGTGAAGGAGCTTTTCAGCATGGGATTCCTTTCAGATTGTCGCCTATGCTGCCACATTGAATGAAAAGTGAGCTGGAATAAGAGAAGGGTTTCTCTTTACCTTTCCAAGTTTTGACATAGGCTGTCCAGAGTGTTTACTTGCCAAATAGTTCACAGTTTGTAAGGTATCTGAAATTGTGTTTGGGGTTTGCCCAGCAAACATGTTTACCGTAATAATGCTCACTTCCGACTTTTGTCCTACCGTGCCGCGTGCTTCTAAGACTTTGGTCTTTTGCAGCTCAGTCTGCTTCTCCTTAAAGAATGTTTTTCTGTTTAGGCTTATTATTCACAACAGTTCCTGCCAGCTTTGAAACATCCTGCCATTGTGTAATTTTATGCCCTTGAGAAACTTCGGCAAATTGCAAGCCTTGGTAACACAAGGTGTGCTATCAATAAATGCAAGGGGACAATATGTTTGAGCCCAGATTTGCTTTTTAAAAGCAACACACAAACCACTTTATGGACTTGAGGGGAGGAAGGAGGACAGCACAAGCGAATTTCAGGCATCACCCATGGCAAATGGCTTCTGGTACTGAAAGGAATTATAAGAACAAAAGTGTGAATATGGCATTAGATGGCCATGTCTACATTGCCAAAACAGAGGAAAGGCATTGCCAAAAAGAGAGCGAATGTTTCTGTTCATTTCCATAAAATATGTATATCCTAGTGCGTATGCACAGATGCAGATTTACAAATAATTACCATACTCTGCATAGAAATTCGGTGCTTTTCTTCATGCAGTAAAGAAACATAACCAGATAATCTGAGCGCTTGCTTAAACTGCTACCTGGAAGCTAACTGTTGACACACAACTTCACAACTTGGTGAACTTTAAGTGGCTTGGAGGGGAGATGGAGAGTTTCCTCTGGGGGGGGGGGGATCAATCCGTAGCCCTTCAGAGCCAGCCTGTCTTGTGCAGTCCAAGTCTGACTTAAGGACCAAGGGAGCGCAGGGGCCCTGGATCTGAGCATCAGCATGTAGCACCTGGACAGCAGGCTAAGCTTGCCCGCAGATCGCCAGGGCCTCTCATGCTGAACTGCAGATTTTACTATTTCAAAATGTGCACCTACACACATGAATCAGTCCATGGAAACGCTATGCAAATTGGTATCCTCTGGTCTTCTCCTTTGGTTTTTTCCCCCTTTTATTTCTTTGACAGAAAAAACCCCCATAAATACAATTAAAACAGCAACAATATAACACAACAAGAACACAATACTTAAAAAAGAATGAATGAAGGAGCGTACCCACCACCCCAGAGACCAATACTACCATCGTACACATATAATATATAATATTCTTCAATTATACCCATATCCCCTCCAGAAATTCATATAGTCTTATTGGGTTTACAGCATTTGCTTTCTATCAGTACTGCTTTTACAAAAACTCCCCAAATTTCATTATATTCATTTGCTTTCATTAACCCTTTTTTAATTTTTATTTCTGTTGTCAGTTTATCGTTCATTACCATATTCCATATTTCATTATACCATTCGTGCCTTTGCAAAACCCAATTCTGTTTCCAATATTGAACTATCGCTAGCCCAACTGCCATTATCATACTTACAATCAATTCTTTCTTAACTTCATTTATATCTTGTTTTTCTATCAACAGTATTAACACCATTCTTGGTGACATTTCTAAATCTATATCTAAAATTTCTCCAATTTCCTTAAATACCATAATCCAAATCTTTTGTATATTTTCACAATCCCACCACATGGTCTTCTTCTTTGGCAATGGCTAAGTCACCATTCTGGTTTTCGGGTAGATTACAGGGAAAATCCCTATCACAAAACTGTAATATTCACCTGCAACCTGGCTCCTTGTTTTTTTCAGACCCTGGGCCAGAAGCAATCCTTTCAGAGCCCATTCTTCCAGAGCAGTGCCCTCTTTGCCTCTTCACATTCTCCACTCCATCTGTGGACAGAGAATTAGAGGCGAAATTTCATTGAATTTCTCCATGGGAAGAGATATTCTCTCCCTGTTTATTTTGCAGGAAAGCACCATTAATAGTGGAAGTAGCCCAACTTCTCCCCTCCAGGCAAAGTTTTGCTTTGCTTGCTATTTACTGTTACTGCAAGTGGCAAACCAGACACCATCTTGCATGCTTTCCCATACCTGGACCTAGCAAGATTCGGAGGCCTTGCAGAGGTGTGCTGGGGAGAGGTGAACAGCAGCTGCAGATGGTGAGAAATCCAGGGAAGAAAAGAAAAGCCAGAAATGTTGGCACAGATGTCATTTCCCCCCAGCTCATTTGAAATTTCTGGCATGCATGCTTGAATTGTCGCAGTGCATCCTGGTATATGGAGGGCCTGGTTGCATATAAATGCATGGACCTAAATTCCAAGAATGACGATGTGTTTGTGAGAAATACTGTGAACCTTGGTGGTGCTGGGTGGGGAGAATAACTTGTGAAGAGTGATTATCAGTACCAAAGCAATGCTCAGATTTATAACCGTAAACATATGAATGGGAATAGAATGGGTGGGACGGGAGAGTGGTTGATAAGGACCCTTGTGTATTGCAAATGTGCTTAAATGAAGAGTTGCTTGTTAAATCCTTGGAATGATCCTTGGCTCTCCTCCTCCCCCTTTTCTTCTTACGCTTTATTTTTTCCTCTTCATTTTATTTTTTGAAAACAACAATATTTTTTAAAAGAGTGATTTAGCACAGCATGACAGTATTTTAAAAGCATAATATATATGAGGAAAGTTGCTTCAGGAGGAGCATCTTAGGAGAGAGCTGTAGCTGAGAGTGCTTCACCTGTTCCCTGCCTTGGAGAAGAGTGTGGCCACAAAGCTTCAGCACAGGTCCAGCACGGGGGCCGTGGATGTGGAGGGATCTTCCCCAGGAAGATTGTAGTGAAAGCAATAAATGAGCTCCTTTGAAGTACCCCCAGCACTGCATAATAGCAGTTTGCTTTTATTACGCTTTGGGTCTGGCATTCGTCACACGTAGAGAGGACCCATTGACAACAAGTGACGGGTCAGCTCTGACTAATGCGCTCCAGTGACTGCAATGGGTCTTCTCTTATGCATGACCAAGTTTGGAGCACACACAGAAATTGGCATGTCACTAGTATATACCTAATGCCATAGCTTACAACAACAACAACAAAGGATTAGTATTATTATGTCTTACCTAGGATCTCTCGATTTCCCCAGCATGTAAGGATTTTGAAGTCTGAAGAAATGCAGCATTTGAAGAGCAAAATGTTGCTCTCCAACATTTCAGTGGTTAAAATGTATATTGATCTGACATTAATTTTTCCAAAAATTATTTTCCTGGCCCAAAGACCTTTGGAAGTGACTTTCTTATTTTGTAGACTCATCAGTCCCATTCCACAAAGTTTATCTCCACTTATTGTTAATGAAGAATACACTGTTTTTTCTTTCTTTCTGCCAGTTTTGGGAAGGTATATTTTCATTGTGTCATTGTGGTATTATTATTTTTTACTCCATTTGACAACTGTATCCCTTTCTGGATAGCTAGATAAAACCCATTGCCTTTACTCCCATTAATTTATACTGGGAAAAGGTTCATAGATTTCAGAGTGTTGTCTATCTTTATAAGAGGTGAAATAGATATCCCTGAACAAAAGGGACCAACAGGGAGGGAGCAGAAGTCCTGATAGAGGAGACTTATTTATCTCAGGAAGGGGAAGCTTCCAGTTCTGTTTTCCCCTGTAAAGCAGAAGGAAACCAGATAATTGGTACCAACAGTCCCACTACTTGGTGTAGGATCTTTAAGCAACTGTAGTTTCAGACTGAAGCTGATGGAGATGATGCAACTAAAATGCGCCCCCGCCCCTTCCCGTATCCTGTGAACAGTTCGGGAAAATATGCAATGACATGAAGTGGGATGGAATTGGCTGGACGAAAACTTTTGGCACTGACAAGCGTGTGTTAGAGCAGAGAGGCAAAACCTCTTTGATGGTGCAGGCAGAGGTGGGGAGAAAGTGAATGCAGTCCAGTCATCTCCTCGGATGCAAAGATCTCTAAAGAGGTTTCAAGGATTGGACAAACATGTCAGGAAGAATTCAATGTGCGCTTCAGAGACTCTTCCTTTGGACAGCATTTCTATTAATGGAAGGTGAGTAAATACTTCAGATGGGAAAATGCTCTTATTTACCTGGTTGAATTTAAACAGATTCAGTGGAAAGGAGGGGGGATTTTGGCTGCAATCCTAAGCATAGTTAACTTAGATATAAAAACGCAGTACAACTCGGTTCAGAAGTAAAAACCAGGGCTTGGGTGGCAGTACCAGAATTAGAGAGCTTTGCTGCTAAGGAAACAGGTTTGAGATTGCCGGGTAAGACTGGACTGAAAGAGACTGGGAACAACTTGACTTTTCACTAATCACACAGGCTTGTGTATTTGTTTGTGGGAGAAAGAATCACACATTCCAGTGTGACAAAGTATTGTTCCTTGAGTCCTCAGAAAAATCCTTTGCAGATGTCATCTGCAACCTGTGTCACAATAGTCCATTGTGCAGATTTCCTGCTCCGAAACTGATGAATATGTTCTTCACAATAATAGCAGTGGAACTTAGTCTGGATTCACAGAGATGACAAATCGGTCTGTCTGTTTACCTGGAAAGAACCTTGAACTGATGAAAGAAACACTGTTTGGAAGCAATTAAAGAATGCAATTCTCTAACTCTTGACAAAAATGCATCTCTTACAGAGTTGCTGTTGGCTCAGCATACCCCCTTCCCCCTTGGCTGACTGGGGATGGTTGGGAATTGCAATTGAACACTCCTGGATGGTCCCAGGTGGAGGAAGGCTGGGATACTCCATTCCAAATAACAGTCTCTGTGTCGGTGAACATTCGTGCCAGGGGGCTAAAGTTGTAGCTACTACAATTCACAGGTCATTCTGTACTCCCACCCTCAAGATGAAGCCCCCATCACACAATTCTGCTATTTTTTGTGGATCAGAATGCAGTTTGCTACTTGAATCAGCTGAGAGAGAGAGAGAGAATGAGAGAGAGAGAATACTTAAAAGGGTGTTCAGGACCAGATACTGAAAAACCAGAAATGTAACATGCAGGTGCAGCAGGTGTGCAGGTAGCACATTTTTATTGAATACATGAGAGATGCACCTGTGCACGCACACAGAGGAAGGGGAAACGTAGTGTTGTGTAGGGTGAACATGTGAAGAGTATCCTTATTTCAAATAGCTACGGAGTTGGGAGAGGGTTGCTACTGCAGAGTAAATAAAGACTCTGTACAGCAGGGAATGCAACTGAAGGCTTAGACAGGAAGAGAAACAAGAAGAAAACAGACGCAGGAAATTCTTGGGTCCATCCAGTTACAAATATCTCCAGCGCCTTCTAGTGACTAATCTATGTAATGACACTATCCACAGAGGAGGGAGGGGACAAGTTTGAAGGGTTCCCAGCAAAGGATCCCCTGATGGGCTCTTTCTTGCATTGTTGAGACTGCCACTGTAGGTCTACCTGCTGGTGTGGGGAATGGAGGGGCATCGGGATCCATGCCAGTCTGCTGTGAGCTGCCCATCACTTAATTTTCCAGAGTGCTGCTGAGCAATGCATTGAAGGGGCTTGTGGGTAAATGGTGGCCTGAAGACCAAATTGAATGTAGAAGTTGGTGAGCTGGAGTGAAGGAGAGAGAGAGAGAGAGCGCGCGCGCATGTGTGCACATGGGTTGAGGGATCAAACCTGGGGAGGTAAAATGCCAACAATACCTGCCTGTTTTAGCTTAAAGCTCTTTCTGCTTGTCACCAAGTCTTAGGAGAGGCATTGCGACTTTCAAGGATGGAGGAAATGCTGCACAAATACAGGGAAACTGCCAAATGATCAATGGTTGAGGGAAAGAGACTGGGACCAGGGAAAATTCTGTGGCCTCAATGGGGATGCTGGAAGTTGCACTCCAACACACATTAGGAGGGGTCCAGACTGGGGATGTTTTCACAGGTGAGCACAGGGACCCTCTGGAATCCCTCCAGCATTCCTGTTCTCCTGCAAAATCTCACCATCCCTTCAGTGCTATGTGCAGGGATGAAAGCTCAGCTTTGCTTTTATTCCTGTTGTTTAACCAGTCCTTGCTGCTGAGTCGTTACCTGTGGCTTGATCACAGTGTGTTCTGGATTTAAATACCCAGTTCCATTATAGGGAACATGCAGTCATTGCCCACATGTGGCCTCAAGCTTCACTTTTGATGGGCTGGCACAGAAAGAGAGAGAGAGATTGGGTAGAGTGACTTATCTAGCTTCTGAATCAGATTGTATTAGCTAACCAATCCGAATGGTTTCCTTTTTGTTGTTGGTACTAGTACAGGGATGGGGAAAGCTGATGCATCTGAAAGGTTTTTAATTGCAGGAAGGCTTTCCTCAAGGCCAAACTAGGATGCAAAAGCAGTGACACAGGGTTTTCAAGAGCAGAACCCAGGGGACAGAAATGGCAGCTGGGAGACAGACCACTGGAGCGTGTTGTACGTGAAAGGGTGCCTGGGCACCCTACCGGTCTGCGGATTCCATTCATTGCGGCCAAAGGTCCGTGACTCTCTGTCCTATCTGGGAGGACAATGACAGGAAGTGTTGCACAGGAACTACCGTGCATTGCAGCAATAACAATGAGCTGGATGCTCGGGGGAGGGGGGTGGGGAGCATGGGCCCGCCAAATGCCATTATACTCAGCTTAAGAGGGGGGATGGGTGACCTTTACCATTTCTCATTAAATCCTAAATGTTCAATGGCTGGGAAACCCACATCTCATATTTAACGGTGTACAGCTCTTGTTAACAGGTATTGAGATAAGCAGGTGAGGAATATGGAATGCCATTACTAGCATTGTTACTAACATGTGCTTTAGAAAGTTCAGAATACATTCATGATCTCAGTAATTCTTACAGAAATGTTGCAAGGTAGGATATTGCAATTAGGGAGCTGATTTAAGAGATGAAATGAGGTCTACCCACTAACGGAGCAAACATCCTGATAATTTTTACCTGGGGCAAGGGGTTTCTAAATGTTTGTGATATATTGAGAATCCCATGGAGAGATGAGCAAATGCCTTTGTTGTTCACTAGGTGAAACATCAGTCAACTTGAGTCCATGTGCATGTTATGTTAAGCTGTGTTTCAGTTCACTCAACACTAGTTTTTGGCCAGAAAGACGCCCTAAGCATCTCCTCCAAGTACTTCCACTGTAATACAACCTCCAAAGCTTCTCTAAAATGAAATTTGGCCCTTGGGCCAAAAGAGGTTCAGCACCCCTGTAGTGAGCGTGTGGGTCAGATCTAAACCCAGGTCTTCCTAGTCCAAATCCAGCAGTTCACATCACTATCCCACAGAGGCTCTTTGCAGCCTGCAGAAAATATACCATAAGTTACTTGGCCACTGATTTTCTCTTTAATTTTTGGCGTTTTTGAATGAGGTACTTTTTGGCAGCAGACAGTCCAGCAAAGAGCAGTAAGAGCACAGAAACTGATAGGAAGGAATAAAATCGTTCTCCTTTGTCCCACTATTCTTCTGCCAGGTCCAAAATCTCGCTCGGAGGAACTGGGGCCACAGATCATTGACCACCCGTCTGACCTCGTGGTTCGCTCGGACAAGCCTGCCACCCTGAAATGCCGTGCTTCCGGGAACCCAGAGCCCACGATCGAGTGGTACCGCAACGGGGAATATGTGGAAACCAGTAAAGGGGATGCTACTTCACAACCCACCCTTCTGCTGGATGGGTCCCTTTTCTTCCTCCGCCTCAACCAGAAAAAGGGGAAATCAGATGAAGGCGTGTATAGCTGTGTAGCCAGAAACCATTTGGGCACAGCCACTAGCAAGAATGCTTCACTCTACATAGAAGGTAAGTTGTTGAGATCATCTTGAGTGTTTCATGCGTGGCAGGAAACTTCACTTGTGGCCTGGAGCTTTTGGATGGCAGCTTTCTTTGCGCTTTCTCAAAGGTGGTAATGGGCCAATCCTATATGGCAGAGTACCGGGATCCTGTGATATGGGATGTGCAGATTTTGTTAAATCAACCCCATCTCTACTTTGTGGATTGTCAGGAGCTTTTTGTTTTGTTGCCTGCTTACTGATGGATTTTTCTCAGTTTCCCAAACCTATGTGTGCTTCAAAAATGTGCAGTTGAATAAATGCACAAACCCCTCCCCCAGTTCCACATTTTCATGCTTTGCCCGATGGGGCAAGGCACATTTTCAGTTGGTGCATTAAAATATTGTTTCCATAGTTTCTTATTTCTGTTTAATTAAATTTGCATACACTTCTGGAAGTAAAAAAACTGGTCAAGGTCATGGAACCCAAGCGATTTGGAAACAGTCAGTCCCCTTCCACTTTGGAACCCCCAGGCTGGATTCATAGAAATCCAAACCCATTTGACATTGTTGGCATCCCTGCTGGGACGCCTTCACTGCAGCCCTCGCCCTGGCTGGCAGCTCATGGAAAAGTGCATTTCACAGGGTGGTGCAGACAGGGTGGGACCTGGGGCCCCGCTCCAGGCCTCATAGCCCAGAGAGCTCCCAGTTGGCCAGCCCAAGCGGCAACACCTGCACTGTCCCCATCACCTGGTCCCTGCAGCATTTTCCCTCTTAGTGTTAAAATCATCTCACAGACGTAGAAAGGCCAGCTGGGCAGGTGCATGGCTGAGATGGACACTTATTTAACTCTGTTTGCTTTTAAAACATGTTGCCTGTTTCCTGCCACAACACAAGATGCTTAATCCCAAGTAAATGTGTTCAGCATCAGGATAGCAGAAGCAAACTGCATGTCATTCCTATTGTCATGATAGGGCCATGATTTGAGTGTCATTAAAATGCAAATATGCACATGCTGAAAGAATTGTCTTTGTAGCAAGTTTGGCTTGTTGTCATTCTTATTTGCTCTTACGTGTTGGAACACAATTCAGGAATGAATGCATGGTAAATCTTGAAATGGCATGTGGTGGGGAGGATCTCTGTTGGTTTGTGCTCCACAGCTGAAGTTTTCCGCATGACTGTCTAAGGCGCCTTCCCCACCAGAACACCACTAAGCCCGGGTTGAAGTTAACTAGCCACACCATGGTTGGAAAAGGCATGACATATTTATGCATTGTGTTTTCCTGCCGCTTTGATAACATTAAACAGCTTGTGACCAGGTTCCTTGAGGACCAGTGTGGTCTAGTGATTAGACTGATGAACTGAGGCACAGGAGATCTGGGTTCTCGTCCTCATTTGACCATGATGTTCACTGGGTGATTTTGGGCTAGTCCTTGCCTTTCAGTCTAACCTTCCTCAGAGGTCTGTTGTGAGGATAAAACTGTGAGGAAAAGAGTCCTCTTTAAGCCACCTCTGGTTCTGCACAAGAGGGAAAACAGTGGGACATAAATGTGACGTAGGAGCACCATGGAGAAGGTCACAAACCATCACACTGCTGTGGGTGGCAGCAGCCAATGCAGCCTTCCAGGGATATTCCTTCTAGTAGATCCATCCTAGGGTGTTTAGGGTGCCATTTTGTGAATGTTCAGGCACCAGCATTCTCCACAGACCGTTCTGCCTCAACATGCACAACGTTGCACCCATCAACCTTCTGAAGTATGTCCAGAAACTGACGGCAACCAGTTGGTTGATGCCGCTCTGGAGCCATTTGTAGGAAGTGGCCAGTTCTGGCCAGCAGCCTCGTCTGAGCAAAGTGAGGTCTCCAGCCCAGCTTTAGAGGTTGCCCCACATGCAACGCAGGAGGTTTCCAGTGCAGGGATAACTGGAGCTTCTTTCTGCCACAGGATCTCTTGGCCCTAACGGGTTTATATGCTGCCCAACAGTTTGCCCTCATTAAAAACAACAACCTCAACAGCAATGTTTTATATTTTTTTAAGCCACATTGGAGCTCTCTTCCTTTTGTGGAGGGAGTGTACGTATTTGCATACATAAATTAATGACCAGACAGAAGAGTACCTAATGTCATGTATAAATGAATAACAATGTAGACTGAGAGTAACAGTGAAGGACTGCATTAAAAAGGTGTTGCTCCCTTGCTGCTCATACTGATACCTCTCACACCCCATCCCCAAAGTAGCGCTAGGGTGCTGCGCGGCTCACAAGTGTACCCCTGACTAGCTTTCCCACCTTTGAGTCTACAGCATTGCCCTAATAGGGCTGTGCAGCACTCATTATGGATGCAATTAAAAATCTGCTTTCATATGCAGGGTTGGAGACTCTACAATTAACACTTCATTAATGATCGGCCTCTGTTTGGCTCCCATGGCTCAGCATGAAGGCTCATGCTGGTGTTTGGGAGCTATGAGCTATGAATATTCATATCACCCACAATGGGGCTGGAGATGCTTCTGCTCCGGGGCTGGATGAAGAGCGCTGCAAGGGTGTGCTCAGGTGCTTCTCCCCCCAGATACGTTTCGGGCCTGGCCTTGTCACGAGGCACCGTGCTTCAGGAGGCAGAATCCAGGGGAGGCTTTCTTTTACTAGCTTCAGCCACCATTTCGGAGGACCGGAAAAGCAAAATCAGGAGAAAGGGATGCCCTTTTGGTATACTGTATTTTATTTTATATTAATTTTCATGTATTTATAGGCTGCCTAGGATTGCTGGGGCCTTCCTAGGTGGCTTATAAGGCATAAAACATATTAAAGAATTTAAAGCACATCAAAAACCAATTAAAACATAATGAATTAGACATCTACAAAAACAATTAAAAAGGGCCACAGCATGCAGGCTAAATGTTAAAAAATATCGTAAAAAGATACGCATTGCGTTTGCATAGGGTGCAAAGATACCTAGGAGCACATTGGCCAATTACACAGAGCGAGGTGGTGAGACTCTTGACCAGCCTTCCCCAAATGGATGCCCTTCAGAGGCTTCACCCCACAACTTTCTTCATCCTTGCCTTGTGCTCATGCTAGATAGGACTGGAAGTCTACTGGAGGCTGGGCCTAGCCCATACCATTTCACAAGAAGTATAGGGGCCAGGACAACTTTTTTTGTGGATCCTTTCTTTGGCTAAATATTGAAGCATGAACATCTAGAGAAAGGAGCCGTAGCCCATGGTGGGGTCCCTGCTTGGCATGCAAACAGCCCCAGGCTGCATCTCCAGGTGGGGCTGGGAAAGAATCCTGCCTGACAACGTGGACAGCTGCTGCCAGTCAGGATTAGCTGGTGTTGTGCGCAGCCCCGCACAATCCACCCCCCTTCAGTTCATGGCTGGCCTCTCACACTCGGCCTGTCTTGGCAGTTGAGCTCTGCTAGGCCTGGGAGCCCCCTTCTGTGTCTCGTGCAACACTCGCCGAGGCTGCGGACCTCATGTGCAGAAGAGGGATGCCCCTTGTGCAGTGGTTGTGCAGGGCTTGATTCCTGGTGAGTGCACCAGGTGGGCAGAACCATGGCCTCAGGAAAGCAGGCTGGAGTCCCGGGAGCCAAGCCCAGGGAATCCGATGGGCTCCCCCCAGCACCCCACCAGCTGGATTCCTCACACATCCCCAGTATGAACTGTCCTGGGCTCCCTGGACTAAGGGCTTGATCTCAGGAAGCCATCCACATTTGTTTTGGGGTGCGTATGCCTTATTTAAACACACAAGGACTAAAAGTTGAGATCCTCTGGATGCAAAAGGCCAACATAACATGTAGAAGATGGTGCAAAAGAGTTTAACACTGTCTAAGAGAAGCCCCAGACAAGCAGAAGTTGTCGTTTCTGGAAGGAGAAAAGTTGGCAGTTTCCTTCTGTGACCTTCATTGACTGGCCCCTTCCAGACATGAGCATTTCCACCTGCATTGCTACAGAATCCCTAAATCATCCATGGTGCGAGTGGCAGAGGCCTCATGTGCAATGCATTTGGTGGCGTGGAAGCAAATTAGTAGGGACATAAATGCTCCACTGGATTCTGACCTATTCCTAAAATATGGGTGAAATCCAAGGTAAGTCCTACCTGGAATGAATGGGACTTAACTTCTGGTGGATTAGTGATGCCCGCAAAGTTTGCAATTAGTGAGGGAAGAGATCACTCCCTTTGGAGCAGGGGCGGTCTCATCCAGACAATGCTATCTGTGCACATGCCGTTCGCGGAATGATGCCGTGAATCTGCCAGTGCTTCCCTCATTGCCGTTACTGCCACAACTCTGGCTGCACGAGGAGCAGGAGGACTTGTCCATCTCCTTTCTTCTATATACCGGTAATTGGTGAATAAACAATAAATGAGCATTGGCTGCTGGTTGAAGCCTGGGCCCAATTCAGAGTGCTTTTTTTATTGTGAGCCACCCGGAGAGCCCTCAGACTATGGCATGGCATACAAATACAATCAATCAATCAGACATTTGAAGCCCTGATCGGCTTGGTGCCAGGTTGTCAGAAGGGAAGCCCATATGTTCCTACTCAGCCCTTAAGATCATCTGCCAATGTCCCTCTCACAGAACTGCCTCCCCCCCAAGCAAGGGGGTGGCAACCAGGAGAAGGGCCTTTTGGTAGTGGCACCCTGCCTCTGGACGATGCTCTCCGGAGAGGTATCCCTGGTGCCAGCCCTGGCATCTTTTCAGTGTCAGGTGCAAGCCTGCCTCTTTTCCAGCTATTTCCTCAGTGAAGTCCCGCTGTACCAGCATCAAATAGCATTCTGTTATCTGCTGGGCCAGTGTCAGAGCTATTTCATTACTTGCTGCTGTGCTGGGGCTTAAATGGTTGTAGCTGCCGCTGCTGTTCCCCTAGAGTTGCTGCCTTGTAGTCTTGTTCATTCAATATGAGCATTTTGTGAATTGCACATATGACTTTTAAATTTGTGAACTGCCGGGAATGCCTGTGGGCTTTGGGGCAATATACAAATGTAATAGATAAATACATACATACATACATAAAGGCCACATGAAAACAGCCCCTCCAACAGGAGGTGCACAGCCCGGTGGTGCAGGGCATCTTGCCGCACTCTGTGATCCCTGGCTCCAGCTCCCAAGGAGCACTGGAAGCCCCTTTGCATTCTTTTTTAAAAAAGAAAAAAGGTGGGATATAAATCTAATGAATGACTAATAGGTCTACTCTAAGTAGAACTTATACTGGTCGTCGCATAGCAAACCCACCCTCTCTGCAATTGCACCATATTAAAAGGGAGTAATGAGGGGGGAAATCATTAAATATCTGCCCATACCCTGCTCGGCTTCTTTAATACGAAATCATATTTGCACAACCAGGTTATAGATCTCTGATCAGAGCGAATTAAATTTAATATCACTTATGTTAATGAGATCCTGTTGCCTTATATGGAAGATGATAATTCCAGCAAAGGTGAGCCGTTCGTTTGGCAGCATCTTTTATCTCGTGGGATCAAGTGTTTCTATTTCATTGTTATTTGGTGGTCACTGCAAAACAGCAGCATCTTTTCTTCCAGAAAGTGTGTGGGGTGGGGGATGGCTTTGGAAGCCAATCCAGCGGGAGTGGGGAGTCTAAAAATATCTTGCAATAACATCCGATGGTGTGAGCACTGCAGACTGCTGCTTGGGAGCTCTTGACTCATCTTCCGGAGGGCCGATTCTATCACAAAAGTTCCATATCCTCCAGGAGGATGAATGCCAGAAATGGGCAAAAGACAGCAGCAGGCGGGAGAGGCCGCCTCCGTTACTCTCTGTGGGGTTTCCTTCCCAACTGTGTTCCCCATTCGAGTTGTCAGGGAGATCACGGTGTCTGCAGGAGAAGCCGTGCAGAAGGACCTTTCCCATAAATACCTGTGCTTGCTCTTATTTCACCGCTGCAGGAAGTGGTGCTGCCACTTGCTTTGCTCGTTCTCAAAGGGGATTGGGCAGACTCACAGGCCATTAACTTTGATATCTATATAGAACCTCCATGTGCAGAGGGAGTATGCCTGTAAATCCCAGCGGGACTATAGCAGGCAGGAGATGGCCACTGCCTGCTGGGGGGATTTCTGTTTGGCCACTGTGGGAATGAGATTCCATAGGAGATGGACTTTGAACTTCGGGTCCAATCCAGCAGGGCTTTTAAAGTGTCCATTCCTGTATTTCTAGTTGGCTGGAAAACCTTGAAGACTTTTAGGACTTGTGCTGGTCCCTCAAACAGCTCCTGCCTGATTCTCCTATCCTCCTTCCATGTTGTCCTCCCCACGTAAATCATATTCCTCTTAGCTTGCCAAAAGCCTGTGGTTTATAGGGGGAGAGTTAGCCATCTCCTTCCTGCATACCAAGACATTTGAGAGAATATGTGGCACTCTCTCTCTCTCTTTCTCGCGCACACAAACACACACACACACACACACACACACACAGAGAGAGAGAGAGAGAGAGAGAGAGAGAGAGAGAGACTGTGCATGTGAAGGGAAGGAAGGCACGGTATGCTATTGTGTGTGGGTTAGCATGAAGGGATGTGGGACATGCTTGTCTTGGCCCTGCCCCTGCAAAATGCCCCCTTTGTATTTGGCCCTCAGAATGTAGCCTCTGGCCCGCTCTGGCCAGCAACCTTCCACCAGAGAAGTTCTGTTGGGATGTTTGTGTTTCCTTGTAGCAATCCAGGATGAGTTTCGGCGCCATCCGAGCGACTTGGTGGTGACAACCGGAGAACGTCTGGCATTGGAATGCATACCCCCCAGAGGCCATCCTGAGCCTACCATCTCATGGAAGAAGAACGGAGTGCCATTAAATGAGAGAAATGGTCATTATGAGGTAACAGGAACAAATAACAGGTCTCCAACTGAGCAGGTACGGGTTGTGTCCAGACTTAAGGCATGCTTAGAATAGACCCACTGCAATCCACGTAGTCCCACTGATTTCAGTGGGTTCTACACTAAGCATGGCTGCATCCAACCCATGGTGGTTTGGAGCATGCAAGGAGTGAGACAGACATCATCTCAGTAGTCGTTGCAAGTACATACAGCAGGCAAATATTAATTGTACGCCATGCTAAATGTTGATGACAAGGAGCTGTGGTGGAGAGACGGTTTCAGTATGCATTTATGTACTAATTGCATTGGCTTGCCACCTTGAGGAAGCTCACAATACCTGATGTAGCACCTTGCCCCATATGAGCCTTTCTTTCTTTCTTTTTTTATTAAAATTTTAAACTAACACTAAAAACATCAAACATCACATACATTGGATTTACTGGGTCAACCCCCTACTACATATTTTTTAAACATTCTAAAGTCAAATTCAAATCAATTTATAATAATTTGAATACATCTCTAAGTTTACGCCAAGTCCCGTTTCTCCAGCCAGTTATAGAAAGAATCCCAAGTTCGATAGAAGTCAGTGTCCTCTTTCTCCTTCAATTATAAAGTCAATCTATCCATTTCTGTGCAGTCCAGAATCTTTCTTAAAATCAGTTCATCGGTGGGTAATTCTTCACTCTTCCAGTATTGAGCAAGCACAATCCTCGCCGCTGTGATTAAGTGTAACATCAAATACATTTCCTGTCTGTTAATATCTTCCGGTATGATGCCTAACAAGAAAACTTCAGGTTTAAAAGCAAAGGGTTTTTGTAATATTTCCTCTATCCATCTATATATTTTAATCCAATACTTTTTCACATTATCACAAGTCCACCACATATGATAGAAAGTACCCACTTTATGTTTACATTTCCAACATCTATTTGACATATTTGGAAACATCTTAGCTAATCGACTTGGTGACAAATACCATCTATAGAACATTTTATATAAATTTTCTTTATACGAAGTTGCTAATGTTACCTTAATGTTTCTTTCCCATAGTTTTGCCACTTTTCTAATTCAACATTAAATCCAAAGTTTTGTGCCCATATTATCATAGTTTCCTTAACCTATTCCCCTTCCATTTTCCTGTCACGTAAAAAATCATATAGTCTTTTAATAATTTTCTCATCTGTTTTAAGCATCACTTGATCAAACTTTGTTAAGTCTTTTTCAAACCCCCATGTTTTACAGTCTTTAGCATATCTCGATTGCATCTGCACCTTATACCACCAGGAAATATTAAGTCCCCGTTCTTGTATTTCTTGCTCCAGTTTCAGGCCACTATCCTTATCCAAGATATCGTCATATCTTATTAACTTTTCAAAGTTCAATACATTTGGATATACAAAGCTTCCATAGGTGAGAGCCATCTTGGTAATTTATTATACACTTTTGGCTTTAGTTTTTCCCACACTGACATTAAAGATCTTCTCATAAAATGACTCAGAAAAGACCCATGTGACTTAGCTTTCTCATACCACATATAAGCATGCCAACCTATTTGCAAGTCATGACCTTCAAGATACAAAATTCTCTTATTTGGCAAAGTTATCCATTCTTTTAGCCAAGTTAGAACAGATGCTTGATAAGACAACATCCAGTCGGGAAGACCAAAACCTCCATTCCTTTTAGCTTCCTGAAGCATTTTTAATTTAATCCTTGGTTTCTTTTTTCTCCAGATAAATCTCAAAATTTGAAAATTTAGATCATCGAAGAATTTTTTATCAATTTTTATGGGAATCATTTGAAACAGAAACAGAAGTTTTGGTAGTATGTTCATTTTAACAAGTGCTCCTCTTCCCATCAAAGACAATTGTAAATTGGCCCATTTTTCCAGATCACCTTCAATATCCTTCAATAATTTATCATAATTATCTTCTTTCAAAGTAGTACATTTAGCTGTAAGATTGATTCCCAAGTATTTAACCTTTTTAACAATCTGCAAATCTACCTGTTCCTGGAGTCTTTCTTTTTGTTCTCGTGTAAGGTTTTTAACTAACAGTTTCGTTTTTTCTCTATTTATTTTCATTCCTGTAACCTCACCATATTCTTCAATCCATTGTAAAAGTTTAGGCATTGTTACAAAAGGTTCCTCCATTATGAAGACCAAATCATCTGCGAATGCTTGCAATTTATAACTTTCGTCCCTAATTCTAGTGCCTTTGATGTCCTTGTCATCCCTAACACTTCTATTCAGTACCTCTAAAATCAAAATAATCAGCAGGGGTGACAGTGGACATCCTTGTCTTGTGCCCTTTTGGATCTCTACAGGGTTTGAAAGTTCTCCATTAATTAAGTTCCTGGCTGACTGTTTTTGATAAATACTAGATATCGCATTCATAATTTTTTTACCAAACTCCATTTGAATCATCTGTTGCTTCATAAATTGCCAATTAACATTATCAAATGCTTTTTGGGTGTCCATAAACAGTAAAGCCATTGGTTTTCGGTATGCATCTCATAATATTCTAAGATATCCAAGATAGTTCTCAAATTATTCATTTGTCTCTTTGGCAAAAAGTCATTTCGGTCTGGATGAATAGTCTATTAGTAACTTCTGCCAGTAGTCTTTCTGCCAGTATAGAAGCAAAGATTTTGTAATCCACATTTAATAATAATAATATAGGTTGGTAGTTTTGAATCTGTGCTACATCCATATCTTCTTTCGGTATTAATGTGATATTTGCCTCAGTCCAAGTAGTTGGTATTTTAGCATTTAACAGTGCTTCATTGCATATATCTTTTAAGACTGTAGCAAAAATAGCTTCAAAAGATTTGTAAAACTCGGCTGGCAGTCCATCCGGGCCAGGAGTTTTGTCATTCTTTTGTCACTTAATTGCTTCTCTTACTTCCGTAATTGTGACTTCTTGATTTAATAGGTTTTGGTATTTTTCTGGTAGTTTTGGTAATTCTCCCTTTTGAATGTATTCTTTAGCTTTATCGATTGAACTCTCCTCCTTCTGATATAACTTTGTAAAAAAGTCTTCCACTATTTTCTTGATTTGTGCACTCTGTAAATGTAATTGTCCTTCTCCGTCTTTCAGTTTCACAATCAATCTCTTCTCTTTTTCTTTCTTAAATTTATGTGCTAGCCATCTACCTGGTTTATTAGCATTTTCTGTTCGGTCAACTTCATTTGTTTAGTAAGCTCATTTGTATCCAAGAGGTTTAACTTATGCTTTAAAATATCCAATTGAGACTTAAGGCTTTGTTTTGATGGATCTTCCTGCAGCACTTGTTCCAGTTTCATCAACTCCTCTATTATCACTGCTCGCTCTTGTTTTTTCTTTTTATTTATTTGTGCTGAGTATGTTATTATCACTCCCCTGACATAGGCTTTAGCTGTATCCCAGACGTTATGTAAAGAAGTTTCTTCTGGTTTATTTATTTGAAAAAATACTTGCATTTCTTTATTTATCTTTTCTGTAAATTTTTTATCTTTTAACACTGCTTTATCTAGACTCCATCTGGGCATCCTTACAGTTCCTTTTAGTGATAGAAATACCGGATAATGATCTGCCCAGACATTTGCCTCTATTTCAGCTTCTATCAGATCTGGTACAAAGTCTGGAGTTATCCAAACCATATCAATTCTAGACCACGACCTATGTCTATTTGAATAAAAAGAGTATTTGGCAGAAGATGGGTTTTTGTGCCTCCAAGCGTCTATCAGTCTAAATTCTTCAATCATGTTAGAACAAGACTTTGGGAGTCTCCTCCTGCCCTTTTTTCCTTTACTTACATTCTTATAATCCATTTCCTTATCCACAATCACATTAAAATCTCCCATTACACACACAGCCTGGAAATCCACTTGTAGAAGTAACATGTGTAAATTTTGGTAAAAAGTTTCCTGATGATCGTTTGGCGCAGTCTGTGCTGGAGCGCTGCAAGCAGAGGTGGCCCAGCAGGCGTGAGTGTGGCCAGTCCAACCTCTGAGACCGGGGTGAAATGGTATGGGTTTTCTTGACTCAGCCTCACAGGTTCTGCGCTATCTGTCCTGTCCTGGTGCCAAATCAATGCAGATTTCCATTTTTAAAATGGGCAGTACTTTGCAGAGAGAGAGATTTGTACATATTGCGCAAAACTGCCGAAATTGCAAAGTGGAGGCCCAAATGTTGCACAAGTTTGAAATTAACTGTCAGAAAATTCAGGGCAGCCAACATGAGCCTGTGCATATTCAGGGAGATAAGAATGCTTCTATGCTTCTTGTGCTAAATGCTAGAACAGAAACAATAAGTACAACTCTAACCAGCAGGCCCCAGTGAGTGTAATTTGCATATATTTTTTTCAAATTGCATCGGGGGGAGGGGGGCACAAGTCTTGGCTTCAAATCTGCACATATGTTTTGAACCCTTTTGCAGAAGCTGCCCCACCCTCTTGCCCCACTTTTGCCCGTCAAGTTGGAAATGTGCAGAACATTCATTGAGGCCGAATGGAAGTTTTCCAGTATTGCAGATTCTTGCTGCAGACTCTTACTCAGGGCTGCTGCTCACACTCCAAGAGGAGAGACCTGTGCAAGTCCCACGTCTTCTTTCCTCTGCATTTCTGCAGGTCTCCGGTGCAAAGCTGCTGGTAGCCCATGCTCAGAAGGGTGATTCAGGAGCGTACATCTGTGTGGCCTCTAATCAGGCAGGAGAGAGGGCGAGCCGGGCTGCCCAAGTCTCTGTCCTGGGTAAGAAGGCCATTTGTGACTGTGTGCGCCCGGCTCTTTTGCTACTGCGCTTTGCTTTCCTTCTGGACTAACTGGGTGCCTCTGAGCCACAGATAAATGCCCTGTTGGGGCTGACTTGGCGAGAAGCATTGCCAAGAGATTTACTGAACTGTTGGAAAGGTTGAAGTACATTTTGAGGGAACGATGCATCCCGCTTTCCTGTCTGTTTGTCATAGGTGTTGAATGTACACATGATACTGAAACTGGCATGCCCCAGGTATTCACGTAGTGTGGAGTCAGGCAGCAGTGCTCTCCAGCTGTTTCAAACTACAGCTTCCATAACCCTTTGCATTGGCCATAGTGGCTGGAGCGGATGGTAGAGGATTATGGGTGTTGTAATCCAAAATAGTGCTCCCCCTCCCCTTGAGATCTGAGGCAGAAGCCCTGTTCCAGGAGTCCTCCTTGAAGGAGATTAGGAGGGAGAGCACCCGGAGGAGGGCCTTCTCTGTGGTAGCACCCCAACTGTGGAATTCGCTGCCCAGAGAGGGTTGCCTGGTGCCGATGTTGTATTCTTTTTGGTGTCAGGCAAACCCCTTTTTATTTTCCTGTTATGTTTAATTGATTTGAACTGGGGTTTTAGTATATTAATAGTCAGATGCTGTAGGGCTGTTCTATTTATTTACTGTAAGCCATCCTGAGACATTCTCTAGGGGACGGGATAGAAAAGCTTTTAATAAAACAGATAGATAGATAGATAGATAGATAGATAGATAGATAGATAGTTTGCCTGATTTAGTGATCGGAGTGCTTATTAGAATGTTGAATCTCTAAAAATGATAATGTTTCAAGAGGGAAGCTCTCTGTAGCTATGTATTTCAAATGCTCCTTGGAGATATGGCATGCTACTGGTCCTCAATAAAAATAGCTAGATCTTTCAGCCTATTCAGTTGCATAATAGATGCTCCTGTATTAAAAGTTTGTTTTATTGGAACCATCATCCTAAAGTACAGGAAAGAGTGTGAATGGTTCTTGCAGAGAAGTAGCCGTGTTTTCCGATGCATAACTTACAGGCGCCATGTGATTGCCCTGTGTTGAGAACTTTCATTGCCTCAAGAATCTATTTGGATTGACTACATACTCTGCTTCCGCCATCCTAGAAAAGCCGACATTCACTCGGAAACCTAGCGATGTTCTAGCCATGCTTGGCAGCGCTGTCCAGTTCATGTGTGGCGTCCACGGAGACCTGGTGCCTGTGGTCCAGTGGGAGAAGGAAAACGGAGAGCTGCCCGTAGGAAGGTGAGTGGAGCCTCTTCTATTCTAAAGGCTGGTTTCGATTTCTTATTTCCAGAGCTGTTCTTATTTCTGAGCTTCGGTTCCTTCTGCTTCTCGTGGCATTTATTGTGTGCTCAAGATGCCTTACTTACAGCTATTTGTGTGTTCTTTAGAAGACATTGTAAGTCTCCATTTTCACTTGTTTGTAGATTTATCTGCCCTTCCACATTTTTTGAAAGAGCAGGGAAAATGGAGTATTATTTCTGAGAGCAGAAGAAAATGTATGTTCCAACTTTTTAAATTATTATAGTTTGCTCTAGCACAACACCACGTAGAGGTTATGTAGAGGAAAAGCATGAAAGGAAAGTGCTTGGCATAATGCTTGGATCTCAATTCTGAGCCAAAACTCAAAGTAGACAGAGGATTAGTGGTCTGAGGTATAAAAACTCAAAGTTTTTCTAGCAACAGCTAGAGACAAAACCATTTCTAAAAAAGAGATCTCCTGATAACTTTCAAATGGCATCCACCAGAAAATGTCTTTCTGAAGGCAGAATGACACCAGATTTTCTCATCTAGTGCCTTTCACACAGGCAAACTGTTACAGTTCTGGAGTTATAAGGTAATGAATGCACATAATCACCAACCAAGCGTTCTGGGTGTTTTCTTACAGGTACGAAATAAACCACGAAAACACCCTCCAGATTCGCCATCTGACAATATATGATGCTGGGATATACATCTGTACTGCGAACACCCAGGTGGGAAGCATCACTGCTAAGGCATCCCTAACAGTGCAGGGTAAGCAGCTCTATGCACAGGAGAGAAAATGGGTCCATTCACTTGCGTTCTGTCCCAGGGCTGTCATTGGGTGTCAGTTTTGTTCAGCATCCACCAGGGCCCATGTCTGGGAAGGGGGACCACTGGAAAACCTTGAAGGTTCTCAGTCCTGTTGTTTCTCCTCTGTTCATGTGTCTTTTTTGAGTGAGCAAGCAAGGAGAGGAGCAGAAGCTGCCAACAGCTTCTGATTTCCTTGTTCCCTCTTTCTTGGCATTGGTGCAAACCAGGTCAAGAAGCAGCAGCAAATGAACAGACAAGGGCAACAGGGGAGGAACTGAGCAATGCACTTAGGGGGAGGCATTGGGAGCATCCTGCTCAAGAGGCCCCAAGCCTGGAACCTGGAGTGGTTGTCTTGCAGGCCCTTTGGCCAACATGCAGGCGCATCCATAGAGAACGAAAAGAAAGACAGAACTTTTAGGAGCAGCAGGACTCCTAAAGACTAGCATTGCTTTCCGAGATGCTCCACTGAATGGTGATCCTTCTAGGTCTCTGGGGAGGAAAGCCACAGCACATTCAAAGGCAGGAGAGGGGATGACTTTTGAGAGGATTGGCCTCATGCTTCCTTGGCTAGAATAAACCTCAGCAAAGATATACTCTGAGTTTCTTTCTTGCCCTTTAGACCCACTGGACACTGGCCAGAGGGATCAGGACAGGCCAGAAGATGTTCCGAAGGAGGTGATGGATGTCAAAGTTGTTCTGGTGAATGTCACTGCTGTCCCCTCCACCCCAGCAGCCCACCTGCACTGGAAGGTGAGTTTGGCGTAACCGAGACTTTCAGTGGCTTTCAGAACCTGCATAAGGACAACATCTTGGTAGAGTTGGATATCCCTGAAGTTAAACACAGGGCAACTGGAGAGCTTTCAACCCCTTTTCAGGCAGTATTAGAGGATAGTAAGTGGTGGTCCGATGGTGAATTTGAAGAGCAGGCAGTTCCCATAGCCACATCCCAAAGGAGAGTTCAAAACCAGAGGCAGCTGGGTTTACTTGTATCCACGATCCTATCCCAGCTATTTTCATTTCAACCCTCTGTCTCTTCAGCAAAGCAAAGCAAAGCAAAGCAAAGCAAAGCAAAGCAAAGCAAAGCTCCCCTTGGCATTGCTACACAGATAGTTAATAATCCTGCTACTGAGAAAGAAGGAGCAAAATATTGTCAAGCAAATTCCAGAGTGGTTGAAACCATTCCAAGGACTGGTTGCAAATACCCAGATGCCTGTAGTTATCTCAGAACTAACTAGAAGTGGAGGTTAATATGAAATTTCTCATCTATTTCCTCAAAGGTTACTCCCAGCTCCCAGCACATAGAGGGTTATGTGGTGTTCTACCACTCTCTGCTGCCTGTGAACACAAACTGGGCTGAATGGAATGTCCTAGGAGACCACCACACGATCATTCCAGGGCTCGAGAGAGGTTATACATATGAGTTCAAGGTACGGCCATATCTGAGGAAGGTCCATGGCCTGGACAGTGAGATCAGACGCCTGTGGATCCCAGAAGAAGGTACAAAAAATCAGCACCACCTCTTTTGGATGCTAATCAATGCAATATCTGAGAGCAGGTGTGAAAAGCCTTACACCCAGCCCTCCAAGGGTCCTGGTCTTTTCTCTCAGAAGGCTTAGTGAGCCGAAGTAAGGCTTCATTGATTGGTATTCCCCCCCCCCCCCCCCCCTTTCCCTTCCTCCTGCACCACTGGAGCACCCCCCCGCCCGCCCTCCCGAGAGCTTTTCTGAAATGGAATCTGATCCTTTGGCTGAAAGAGATTCCACTGCCTGTCCTAGAAATGGAGACCCCCAGTGATCTCCAGGGGCTCAGCCAGTGATGTTCCCCAGGCCAAGGAGTACATAGGAACATGCAGAAAATCCTGCAGCTGTGCCAGGTGGATGATTCATTTAGCACCACATTGACTGGTCTGGCTGGCTGGCCGGGGCTCCAGACCTTCAGGTCTCCAATGGATGTTTCCCAGCCCTGTGTCTGATGCACCTTTAAGTGCAGACTGAAGCTGGGATGGTTAGCATGGAAAGCAACATGCTTCACCACAGAGCTAAAGTCTGCCCTCATTCCCTGGAGGCTCCTGCGGAACTCTCTTTTCAAATCATTGTTTGACTTTCAATTTCCAAAGGTTGCAGCAAAAATTAAAAAATAAAAAAGACAACATAGAAAAGAAAAGCTCAGGTTTTGCTGCATATGAGTTAAGCATATCAGGTGAAGTACGAAATATATACATTATTAAATGCATACAAAGAAAAGGGGAACTGTCAATAGAATAACCATGCATACAACCAAGGCAAGCCAGATATTCCTATATTTATCCGTACATAGTTGACGTCCAAATGGCACCCATTCCGAAGTTGAAAGAATTGCTGGGGCATCTGTCCATTGTGTTATCAGGAGTGGCTGTTTATCCTTCTAGTGTTGTAATATCTGTCAAGACTTCTCCAAGAGTTATTGACACTGACTTTGCATTAAGTTCCAAGAACAAGCTAATGAAGAAGAGATACATCTGTATATATTGAAGTGTTGTCCTGTCTAAATGAGGCAGCTGTTGGCCACTGCCAAAGCATGGGTGTATTGCAACCTCAACCATTAGCTGCCCTAGCTAGGCCTTTACTGGAGTGATGTTGTGATATCCAAAATACATGGAACAGCCCGTGAGCCATTGATTCTCCCAAGATGGATGTGAATGCAGCATTCCAGGGATTGCATGGAATCTGGCTGCCTCATTCACTCTTCCATGCTTCCTTAAGGCCCCTTGCATCACATTTGTTCATGTATCGTATTTGCTCAGTGACAAGAAATATTTATGCAACCATATCATAGGCTGATACATCTGAGCATCCTGGACAAATCCCTCCAGAAGGGGAGGACACGGAGGCAGCAAAGGCTTCAGGGCCACATCTAGACTCTAACAGATGGTTCTGTTGAATGTATTAACATTCAGACACTGAGGGAAATTTGTATTTTTCAAGACCCAGGCAGGAATGAGTGCTGGCAGTAAGATATACACATCACTGCACTGATGTGAATCTCTCAGAGCACAATAATTCAGCAGCCATTATCTGAACCCTTGTCTTTGGATATTTTAGGAATCATGCCCATCCCACTGCCTGAATCTGGGCCCCAAAGCACAAAGAATGTCTCTGAAGAGCAACTGATCTCATCAGCATGCTGATCAGAGATGGCCCAACAATTCTGGAGGGGACCAAGTTGAACTTCTCGTTCTCTGGATTCTTGAAGGCATCTGGTTGGGCATTGTGTGGAACAAACTGAGCACTTACCTTCACCTGATCACGAAAACCTATAGGGTGGGGTGGGAGAGGCACAGGTGAAAGAGAGAAGGCCCCCACTGCTACTTCTTCCACTTATATCCTCGCTGTCCTCCTCTTAGATGGAACTCAAAGTGGCTTACATTGTCCTTCTCCCTCTTTCAATTTTACCCTCACAGCAACCCTGTAGGGCAGGAGAGCCTGAGAACCTGGCCCAAAGTCACTCAGTGAGTTGCCTGGGAATGCAACCTGGATCTCTTCCGTTGCAGTCCAGCACTCTAACTACTGCTCCACACTGTCTCCCATCACGTGGAGGATGCCTTATTTGCTGGAGGCACGCTCTGCCTCCACGTTGCTCAGGGGACAGTTTCAGTCTTAAAACAGAGCCCTGCTTTCTCCCTAGTGCCTAGTGCGGCCCCTCAAAGCATCAGCATTACCACGTTCCAGGATGGGAATGGCACCGTGATCATCCACTGGGAGCCCCCTCCACATGACTCACACAATGGGATCATTAAGGCCTACCAGGTAAGGAGGAGAGAAATCCGAGTGATCCAGAGCTGGCATAGCAAAGTGTGTCCGAGATGCTGAAAGGCAGAAGAAACCTCTACGAAGGGTGACTAGTGTTGCAATGCTAGGGCGAAAGGGCAGAAAGTAGCAGACCAAAGATGCAATCTGTTGCAAGTTTAGGCTGAAAAGCACCCATCATTCCACAGTCGGCCATGCTATCTAAATATAGAAATATAAACACAGAAACAGAGCAAGTCAGAAGGGGTCTCCTGGGCCATCTAGTCTGACCCACGGCTCCAGCCGGCTCCATGCCTGCCAACCGGGCGGTTGCGGTGTATCGGCTGGTGGCCACGGTCCCAGGATTCCCATTTTGTTCTCTTGCTTGCTGCCGTGCCGTGGGAGCATCAGCAACAGATTCACTGGTGTTCTAGTCTGCAGCCTGGCCTCCTATGCTGGCTTTGCGTCAATGTGTCACAGTTCTATAGGACACATTTGCTTGTTTTATGCACACTTCCGTTTTGTGGAAATGCTGGCTTTGCACCACTCTGTGTGACACAGACCGGCTCTGCCCTCTCTTTTTTCCTTGCATTTGCAGGTCTGGTTTCTGGGCAACGAAACACACCGTGGATCTAACAGGACAGTCGATGGTGCAACACACAGTCTAGAAACAACTGGCCTGGCTAATGGGCTAAAATACTGTGTTCGGGTAGCGGCGGTCAATGGAGCAGGAACCGGAGTGGCAAGCAGTCCTGTCTGCAGTGATGTAGGTCAGAGATGCTATTTTGTACTTAATCTCTTGGAACGTGGCTACGCTTGGGTCACCCCTGCCTGGCAGCTTCCTGGTTCAGCAACATAAATCAAACTCACGAGCATGAAAAGTGACAGTGTAGAACTTGGCATGGGTGAGAAATTCTTTGGCTCGCATGTTAATGTGAACTTATCAAAGATGCACTTTCCGATGGAGGATTTAATGAAACTTCCAATTTTGAATGCATGGCCTTTAGGCTTAATCTGCAAACGGATAAATATACGAATATTTGCCTTAGCTGAGGTATATGCTTAATTATTTTTAATAACAGTGGTATGTTCTGTTATAAACTCTTCCCCACTCTCTCTGTATATTATAAAATAACCAATGTAATCATAGAATAGTAGAGTTGGAAGGGGCCATGAAGGTCATCGAGTCCAACCCCCTGCTGTTGCAGGACACCAGGTTACACCATGATGATTCTTTTGGATTGCAAAGTTCTGTTCTCCCCACTCCCCTCTAATGGTGTGGGTGGCTGTTTTTGTATTTTAAAAGAAGCATTTACAAATCTGTACATGAACAGAATACAGAGAGACTGCATGGGAAACAGACTGGTCCATCCTTCCCTACACAAAACCTGGGAGTCCACGGTCTTGTTGAGGCAAGAAACCTGCTGAGCAGGCTGCATTATGGCCCTGCAACTTCACCTGCACCGGCCTCTTCACCTGCATGCGTTTGGTTTGCTCCTTTCCAGAGCCGACAGTTGAGAAAATGGCGAAGACCCCAGACTTTCTGTCCACCGCCGCCATTCTGGAAGTGGTGCGCCAGCCCGTCTTCATTGCCAGCATGGGCTCGGCACTTTGGATCCTGCTGATGGTGCTGGCTGTTTATGTTTGCCAGCAACAGGCCAAGCAGTACAGTGGGGGGCGGCAGTACGCCCTGGGCGAAGGTAAGGAGGCGGTCCTCAGAGAGCTTCCACAGAGGGCAGAGCACTCCGTGGCAATGACCGGGGTGAGGCTGCTGGGTGCAGGGGACCACTCTGGCCTGCTGGGATGAGAAGAGGATGCAGCTGTGTGTGTGAGTTTGCAGAGGTGCTTGCGTAGGCTCCAGGGTAGCTGCTATGTCCAGGGATGGGTAAGCACGATAGTCGTGAGGATACGACTGTGCACCCTTACAGTGCTGTGACTTTTCTTGGGCACCGAAGGACATTTGCAGAAAAGGAACGGCCTGATCTGCTATTGGCCTTGCTGGCTGGGGATTCTGGGCATTGCATCTGGACCCACCAGGGAGATACCCGTTTGGAGGAGGCTGATTTCATCCATGAGCTGCTTCCTCAGTTCTGCAAATCCAGGCCAGGCAATCCCTTTCCTTCTGCCTGTTTGTCTCCATTTTTCTTCTACCTCTTTTCCACTTTGGCCTTCTGCCTTTTACTTTATTCCTTGGACCACTTTCCTTTCCTGGGCTGATGTTACTGCTTCCTTCAACTGAATCTCTTTCCTTTCCTTGTATAGTTGATTTTTAAAAATAACTATCCTTTTAAATATGCCACTGCCACTCCTAGTTTGCTGTGGTGGGTGGTGGTTCCCAAGTCAGTCAGGTGGTGAATCTGTTCTACCCCATAGTCTGAACTTCAAGCAGCTATTCATGGTGCTGAACCGCCAATGTTTTCTTGTGTGTGATTCAGCCTTGTTTGCCCCCATGATCCACCCTCCGTATTAAGCAGGGAGCCATGAAATTCAGTGCATCATCCTATGTGTGGTGGGTCTTATTGGAGGTGGGGAACAGAATCTCTTTCCTGAAGCCCTCCCATGTCCCGAGGCTCCTGCTTCCTGGCTCACCTGGACTGTTGTGCAAGGTGCAGCCCTGGCACCAGCTCCACGAGGTGTGCTCTGGCTGTCCAGCCCCCATACTGGCATCTTTTGTAATGGGGAATGTTCACCGGTGGGCTTGCAGGAAGCCATTGACAGGGGGGAGCTATCTGGCAGTAGGTAAACTAGCAGGTGGAGAAGGGGCTGCCGCCCTGGTCCCAGTTGCTCCTCCAGAAGCAGATTTTTTCTGCTTCTGGAGAAAAAAAATGTGATGTGGGTTTGCTTGTAATGACCAGTTTCCTCCTAAATGGCAGGGACTGATACAAATTGTGAAATGACTCCTAAGTAAAGGCAAACCTGTCTGGCCAAGAGGATCTAACCATGTCCCTCCCTCATCTCCAGGTTTGTACAGGAATGCCAGTGATGACACCATCATCAAGCACAGGTAAGCTGCAAGCTGTATCTCCCTGGAATTCTGGCATGCCAGCATGTTTTGCTTCCCACTGTGTCTCAGGATAAGATGGTCCAATCAGCAAAGTGCTTAAATGTGGTAGAATATATGATGAAAAGCCAGGGGGAAGGCATGAGATAGGCACCAGGGCACTGCCACCATCAACTCATAGAAAAGGATGTAACTGGATTTCTTCCTTTTATGTCCAGTTTTGGAATGGGAGGCCTGAACAAGATCGTTGGAGCCCTCCATTCATGTGCCATGATATCAGAAGGCTATGCATTTTGCCTTGGATTTGTTTTGCTACAAAATAAGAACAGGAGGTTTGTGAAACTCTGCAGCATATGCTTCCGCAGCATGTGTGTGTCACTAGCCCTGTGTGAGCAAATGAAGACACGTGCCAAGATTTGAGTGTCCAAGTTGCCAGTAGAGGCACAGCTCATGAGTATAATTTCACCCCATTCCTTCAGTGGTGCTAGGCAGTTTTATGCTCCAGGGTTCATCTAGGCTGGGAGTGGTGCCTGTTTAGATGGCTACAAAAACTGCATCCCTTCAGGGAAGGCAATATGTCTTCTATGCCCTATGTCAATAGAGCATCTTACCAAGTGCAGCTTTTATTTTGAGCTTTATAGGAGCTGTCCACAAGGATCCACAATGGTGAGCCTATTTTGGAAATGGATATGAGCACTATGGATAACTCTTATAATGCTCAAAATAAAAGCTGCAGTGAATGAGAACCCTCACAGACATAGGGGTCATGAGCCTCCTGCACCTCACTGACTTCAGTGTGGTGATGTTTGGGAACCTCCTGACCATTTTGTCATGATGGGCCCCATGCATCTGCCCAAATTTTCTGCCCCAAAGGTACCAGTACATTCCTCTTCTTGATCCAAATATCCACCCAGATTCGTGAAAGTTTTTGTCCCTTTGACTGTAGGATAGACTCCAGTGATTCTCCATGGCTTTCCAACACATGGAAATCTACTTCTGGTTCCAAGACTTACAGCACCAGCAGCAGCTTAAGCAGCCAACTTCAGTGGCCTGAGCCCAAAGACAACCAGGAAACCCACAAATCCCGTAAGTGCCACCTGCACCCTGTGTCCTTCCCTTCCTCCCATATTTCTCTATCATCCTCTCTAATGCCAGTCCAGCTGGTCTTGTCTGTTTGTTATAGCAATTTGTGCCTTGCCCTTTGAACACGTTTTCAGGGTGGTTTCCAGAGACTTGCAATATAATAAAATTGAAATCTGAACATTACAAACAAGAGAGTACAGTAGCAAAACTTTAGAGCCGTGTGAAATTCATGGGTGCGACAGGATTGGTTCAGGAATTTAAAAGCCTGGCAAATGATAAAGGTGCTTGGCTGGTTGCAAAATGGCATCACACTGCAGGAAGGGGGTAATGAAAAATACCATCACAGGACTCTTGAAGTACTGCAATTGGAATGCGTACACCATAAATGTTTCAGGAGGCTCGACTGGTTGGCTTGCTCACTGCCAGTGCCTGTGACAGGTCCAACCTGAATAGAGTATATTAAAGGTGCTGTAGTTAAAAAGTTCATAGTTGGATCTTGGAGCAATTGATGTCATTGGGTGGACACCAAACCCTGAAACAGAACCACTGAGGCTTCCTTTTTGCATTTGTTTCCCTTTCCCCACACCCCTGTCCTTTCTTGCAGCAGTGCCTTTTGACAGGCAGGGCCAAGGATCCCGCGTCCAGACTGTTCCTTTGGTGCCTGACAGCAGGAGCAGCAGCCTGTATGGGGCTCTGTATGTGGATCTTCCAGCAAAGGACCTGAAAGCCTTCCATGGTGCCCCTCTGCCCAGCCCCAGCCAGCACATGGTGGCGCTGGCAAGAGCTGGTGACCAGCAACTCATGCCGCACTGCAGGCAGAATCTCCAGCTGGAGAAGGCCAACATCCGGGGAGGTCCTCAGCAGAGTCTGTGGAAGGCCACTGGGCCCCTATCCCCACATTTGATCCTTGAGGGCTCTTGGGAGAAGAGCAGCAAGAAAGGTAAGCCCTTTCCTTCAGGTGAAGCCAGGAGAGGCTGTGGTATCAGATATCAGAACAAACAGGTCGAGCCACCAACTTTTTGTTTTCTTCCCTGAGGGCGCTTGAGCACTTCACTTTTAATGGGCATGGGTGTATGAGCGATGCTCAGGATGGCCAGGAATCTTCGGCAAGGGGCGGCATAGAAATGTTATCATCATCATCATCATCATCATCATCATCATCATCATCTCTGCTTTCAAGGACTTTTGTGTTCATATGTGTGTGTGAGAGAGGTGTGGGTGGGAGAGAGAGTGAGATGGTGACCTCAGGGTCGTTACTACCCACAATATTTCTCTCTTGATATCCTTAGATGTGAAAAAGAGAAGACTGTGAGGTAGTTGTGATCTTAGATGGATGGTAGAGGACATTCTCTTAGGACTTGGTGTGCAGGGTTGCAACCTTGAAATCACCACTTTTTTGTTTTGCTGTTACATGAAATGTTGTCTCTGTCCGACCCCCCCTCCCCGCTGCACTGCTCTGCTCACCTGTTGAGGCCACACTCTTTAAGCTTTGGTCTGCAGGTCCTGAAAACTGGCAAAATACTTTTTAGAGAAACTTGAGTGGTGTGTCTAACCAACTGAAGCACACAGGATGTGGAAAGGTGGTTTCAGTAGCAGGGAAGGAAAGCCTGAATCTAAATGTCAAGCAGCACCTGGGAAGGGAAAAATAGTCCTAGTGCAGCCCCTCCCACCTGGTGAGTGTCTCCCCCTCCCCTCCAAAGAGGCAGAGGGTTGCAGGAGGCCTTAATTGAATTATCTCCAAAGTTCAGGTACAAATTGAATGCCGTGCCTTTGGTGGAATTTAATGGAAAACCTAATTTGCTTGCCGAAGCTGCTAATTGACAGAAGCAATGCAGAGGGAGAGCTCCATCCCTGTTAAGTACATGGTGTGGCTGGGTTGCTGGGAAACAGGCCGGGTAGCTCAGAGAGGCACCCCCATTGCTCACCGCCTGAGGGGTCCTCCACAACTTTGACCTGAATGCTCATTTTTGCATTCGAGTCAGGCCTCCTGCCCCTGGAGCCAATTCTGGGGAAAGCTCTCTGCTCCCCGGAAAGCTTAAACATGCATCAAAGACCGATTAGGATGAACACCTTCCCTGGGAACCTACAAAAGGTAATTCTGTCTCCCTTTCTTTGTGAGTTTCTGAACCCCCTCTGGTAGCCTTCAGGAATGTGTACTTTCTGGCATTTTACAGATGAAAACTAGGCCAATCTTGTAAGAAGTAAGAGTGGATGAGTCTGCCAACCTCAGTGTATGTATCTCTTTTTTCCAAGCTTACGTTTGGTTTACCTCAAACATTTATTTTTTAAAAAAATGCTTTCCTTAAAAAATATGGAAAGACATCAGTGGACATTTCTTCTGATACATTCATTTTTCAGCTTTGCCCAATACACATTTTTGCAAGCTATGTATGTTTGTATGTTTGTTTGTGTATATATAATCCAACCCAAATGTTGACCCTCTGTTGGCTCCAGGTTTTAAAATGCCTTGGGTAAGGCACTCTCAGTGGGTTCCTCTCCCTTAGTGAGTCAACCCTCTCACAGCCATTGTAACCAGCCATGTTTGCTCCTCAGCCTCTTTCTCATCCTTGGTACCATTCATTTGCTAGACAGACAGCCAGGGGCTGGTAGGTGACGGCATCTCCTGCTCCTTCTTCTCACCACCATTGTTCTCTGATCCAGCGTGAAAGGCAGGTGAACAATGGATCCTCCTGATGAGGTATGGGCCCTTGGCAGGTATCCAACTATGTTGATCCTTCACACTAACCTCAGGTCAACCAGCCATTGTAAGAATACAAGCACACTGAGAAATGATCTAAACCTCAAAGAAAGTATTGGTGATAGGCAGCTCCACAGACCTACAGTAGTTGCATCTCACAAATCAGAATGTCCAGCTAACTTGTCTTTCCAGTGACTAGCCAATGAAGAACACCATGATGTATCACAGTAGAACAACTCTCATGGAGTTATCATAACAAGAACTCAGGTGGATCTCCCCTGACTTGCATGTGTCAGCAGCAGTGTCCTTTTCTTTTCCAGAGCTGCAACATACACAAAGCTCGCCCATGCCGCCATCAAGTTTTTCACCAGACTGGAGCCATCGGGACAACCAGGCTAGTGGTATCAGCTCTGGAAAGCACCAGAGGATCCATGGTAGGAGAAGGACCTGCTTCTACACAAGCTCAGGGGCAAATGGGGGTATCCAAAAATGAATCAAATCCCAGAGCGGGTCTCCGGAATGAGTTGGTTTAACGTAGTTCCTGTTGCAATGGAATGGGTTTGAGCCAGGAGTTGTTTGACCCATGGATTTCAATTTGACCTGGAGTCAATTTGGGGAATTTGTTGACAGCAAGCTAAATGTGAGCCAGCATTGGGACACAGTGGTGAAAAAGACAAACTCCATCCTTGGATGTATAGCCAGAAATGTGGATTCCAGATTGAGAGAAGTGTTAGTACTGTATTATATGGCTCTGGTGCACCCACAATTGGAGTGCCATGTCCAATTCTGGGCTCCAAATTATAAGATGGTCATAGCTAGGTTAGAATCCATTCAGCACAGGGTCACAAGGATAGTAGCTGGATTGAGGGATGGGGGGTGCAGATGCCATATGAGATGAGATTGAGGGAACTGGGCCTTATCAGTCTGGAGAAGATGAAACTCAGAGGGGATCTTATAGCAACATATAGGTATGTGAAGGTGTGTCACATGGTAGAGGGTTGTGACCTGTTCTCTCCTCCAGTGAAGGGCAGGACATGTTCCAATGGGACAAAGCTCAAGGTACCAGGTTTAAGGTTGGATGTCTGGAAGTACTTCCTGACAGGACCTCTAGAATGGGTTTCCATGGGAGGTGGTGGAGGCCCCATCAGTGAGGGTGTTCAAGGAAAGATTGGGCAACCACATATTGGGTATTACATGGGCAGAGCTGACTTGAGCCGGGATTGGACTAGACGGTTCAGGAGGACCCTTCTGACTTGCTAGGTTTCTATGCTCCTATGTATCTATCAATCTTTAAATTTCCCCAAGCTGCTGATTCCTCCCTTCTTGTCTGTGGATGGTGACATTTTGGCTACATCAGTCCCGTCACTTATATAACTGAACTTGATTAGATATGATCTCACACAACAGCAGCTGCAGGGCATGCTGCACATCAATAAAGCCCAGACTTTGGCTGTGCTAAGTGCATGTCTGAAAGTGTGCTGAGACAGAAAACTTGAGGGACTTTGTTGAGTATCACTTGGCTCTTCCTACTGAGGCATCAGTTCGCTTTGCTTGAAATGAAAGCAGTTATCTTTGTGAAGGGATATTCTGACATGTCGTCCTCTTCACAGTGAAATGCAATTGTACAAATGCAATCCAAGCAAATGTAGGAGATCTTCTAAAATTTCTTCATGCAGATTAATTCCTTTTCCATATAGTTTGAGTGCCATCTATTTTCCTCCACCCAGTCCGAATGGGTAAAAGAATGGGATGACTTTTTAAAGTCCTGTGCAGTCTATTTTTGTTTACCTTAACTGCCAGATGGGAGAAGGATCCTATGAAACTTGTTGCTATCTGGGCCCCAGCATGATGCTTGACCTGCACAGGTGTACCTGAGCAGCACCCTGCCTCTGCTGCCTTCCTTCCAGATTGATTGCACTCCATCTCTCTGGATAGAACAGTAGAGGGCAGCAGAGAATCATGTTCAACAGCTGGCTGCGAAGGGTTTTTCTGCAAGGATAGGCAACTGCTGATCCCTTTTTTGTTCCGGCACCTGCCTCCGCTTCAGAGCCTTAGTTTTGGCATGTTTTGGCATTCAGGGTGGCCCACACACCCATTGCCGTCTGATGCTCATGACCTGCCATCCTGGGAGATTGGAGCAGACAAATTAACACAGCAGGCAGTGGTGGTGCTTTAGAACACAGAATGCTTTGGGGTCTTGATTCATGCTGGTGACAGCACCTTCTCTCTCTCTCTCTCTCTCTCTCTCTCTCTCTCTCTCTCTCTCTGTGTGTGTGTGTGTGTGTGTGTGAGAGAGAGAGAGAGAGAGAGAGAGAGAGAGAGAGAGAGAGAGAGAGAGATCTTTGTGAGGATTGTTGCTGGAGAGTGGATGCTTAAAACACTCTTTCTTGTACCCTGAATGCCTGCAATCCCTTTTTTAATGAGTGCTTGTCCAAATACACCTTGGTGCAACCCCTCCATCCCCAAATCCATATTTTCATGCTTTAGCCTATGGAAGAAATGCCCCTTTTTGGTCAGGAACAGTTAAGAGATGTAAGCAAGATGAGGCAAACTTTTAGGAAGTATTTGGGGAGTTCCAACAGGCTGGAACATGCTGCCCGAGCACTTTGCTCTGGCCAGAGAACAGTGGTGGTGTGGAGAAGGAGGTGGTGCCACCTGCGAGCAAACAGAGGGGCTTGTGGGAAAGAGGGTGCCAAGCAGCAGCAGCTGTTGACAGTGGGACTCAGGAAAGGGAGGCCATCAAGAATGCTCACCCCCAAAACATGCACAGTACTGCTGCACCCTGCAAGACGGGGCCAGCCCTGCATGCAGAGGATGACTCTGTCAGTTCCAGCTTCTGTCAGCTTCTCATTTTTCCTATCTGAGACTTAATTCATCTTGAAGGTTGCAAGTTTCTCCAGTCTGACGTTTGGTCCATCTTGAGCTTTGAGTTTCTTTCCTTTTTTAATGTGTGCATTGAAAGTCAAAAGCATTTTATGTGTACCTTGCTCTGAAGACATGCATTTTAAATGCAATTTTTGCCTAATATAGACTTTTGGGGGGCAAATAATTTTCCTAATGGGAAGTGCGCATTATTTCCTCTCTCATATACATTCCAAACGGATTTTCTATTATGATTGGAAAATGCCATCGCAATGTTTAGAGGAGTGGTGATTTTAAAAGAGAACTAAATTTCAGCTTGTGAATTGCTTTGACATGCAGAATTGGGAAGATTTGCCTTAAAATGTTAATTGGTTGAATTTCCTTCCTTTCCTGCAAGCTACACCTATGCAGAAGCCTGCCACATGATCTCTCACCTTGGCTGTTTTTTGGCCAACACTATGTATATGCAATAGTTTAAGTAAATAAAATGGGGGATTAGAATGGGTGAGAGATGAATTTATCCAGTCCCTAGAAAGTGGCTGCAGATCCTTCAGGGCTTCAGGGCTTCCTGGGCTCAAGTAGCGTGGCTTTGAGGGGCTCCCAGAGCGAGAGATAAGACTACTGGACTAACTGATGTGTTGATAGTTAGTCTGATGGCAAATATATGCGATTGTGGGTGCATGTCTGTGCTTTGCTGCAGTTGCTTTTATTAAAGGAGCCCTCCTGCCAGATGAGCCTCCAGCCACCAAGCTGGCGCTTGGACGAAGGGGCTTCTTTTGAAGCCCTTTCTAATGCTTAATGAGACTGCATGGCAGCCAAAGACGCTTCTCCTTGTAAACTAAGCACGCTGCCTCCGCCACACCTCTCCCTGGTGCCCCATGTCCATAAATCCTCCTCAGTTATTCATGAGGCAACGTCTGCAAGGAAGGGGCTCTGCAGCTAAATTGGACATTCTGGGAACAAGAAATCAGATGGTTTCCATTGCAAAATGGATTGTGAAGGGCGGCAGGGTGGGGGGGTGTTGCTGCTGCTCAGAGCAGCAGAACAAGGGATAGTCTGTCTCCCTGAGATTCCCCAAATGCCATCACAAAGCTTGGTCCACCTAGCTCCTGTTTTGGTTTGCAATCTGCTTTCCCCATTTGAACAAATCAGAAAAGTATGTATTCCTGTGCATCTTTTTTAAAGGGTTTACATTCCCCATTGACTAAAGCATGAAAATGCTTTTGAATGCGCATTTCAAAGTCTACATTTTTCTTATAGCTGAAGCACTACAGGCTGTTCACAACAATGATATGTATACAAAAAAAAAAAAAGGAAATAAAGAAACACGGTGTAAGCTTCCAGTATATAACAGTGTAATCATCTAAAACAATTTCAGTAAAAACTAGACCTGATTAAGCAATTGGCATAGCCCATCATGCGTCACCAAATGCCTGAGAGTGGAGGCCAGTTTTGTCCTGATGCTAAACAGCTGGCAATGTTGGCAGTCTTAGTAGGGTGATCATTCCAAAATTCTGGAGCCACCACTGAGAAGACCTTCCTCTGTGTGGGGTCTTTCTGCCCTTCCTTGGAAGTTGCAATTGGAGGAAGACCCCAGGTGTCAGTATAGTATTTAGGTAGAATGAGGTCAGGTGAGATGCTTTATTGTGTCCCAAATTGTATAGGACTTCAAAGGTTAAAACCAGCACCTTGAATCGGGCTCAGAAGCAAATAGGCAACCAGTGCAAGAAGGCCAGAGCTGGTGTTATTCATTCATGAAGCAACTGGCCAACAGTACTGGCGGTGGAGGCTGGCTCCCATGTGAGTGGGGTTGTGCTTCTGCCTTGTGTTGTGGTCTGAACTTTTAAGGAGCTATCCATCATGCTGAGCTTATTCTGGGGATTGAGTTCAGCACCATGAACAGCTCCTGTAAAGGTCAAACTAAAACCCGAAGTTGCTGTCCCACCACCACTGAATTCTGGAATGCCGTGGTTATGATTCTATGCCCTAGTCAGCAGCTTGGGAGCCATATTTGGCAGCAATGGAACCTTCTGGACACTCGTCAAGGGTAGCCCATGTTGGGGTCATTGCAGCCATCTAACCATGATGTAACTAAGGCGTGGGAAAAAGTCGCCAGTTCAGAGTACTCCCCAGATGTTGTGTGATGCACAGAATCAGCACTTCAGTTTCTAGGAACTGTGGTAAGATACAGATTTCACAGATACCAGTTGAAGCAGTTTTAAATTGTCTCCCATACTTGGTGCGCACTTGTGAAAGATAGAGGAATTCGAATGCCTTTATCATGTCTTTACAACTAAATAATTCTCAGTCCTTCCTATGCATGTTTAGACACAGAAAATGTCCTAGATTTCCCAGGAATGGTATGTAGGATTACACATTTAACGACAACAAGGGAAGGTGGGGTTACAATCTCATATCAAGCATCTAGGGGCACTTTGGCGCTATTTGCTTTGACGCCCATTTTTTGTTCCCTACTACCATTTTTTGGCACAGTATTCTATAGATTTGGGAATGGCTTTTTTTCATTTAACCTGGGGGACACTAGTGTGTAGAAGGCCTCTAAGTCAGTGGTATGCGATGCTCCCAAGTCCATTAGCAGCATCTCCAGGAAGGGTTGGGAAGATCCCTTTGCCTGAAAACTATCTGCTGCCACCTGTGTCTGTCTGCTGCTGCCAGATGGTGTGGACAACACTGCTGTAGATAGACCAAGGGCAGCTTTCTATGCCTCCTAAACAGAAGAGTTTCAGGGAACGCTTGCCAGTTTCATGGATGCAGATTTCCTTTGCCATCCTATTCTTTGGTATCCAGAGAAAGCAGCAATGCTTTTCCCCAACAGAGTCAGTTTCTCAAGAGAACGGATGAGTGGACAATGAAGAAACCAGTGGTAATATGAACCTGAGGAATACCTGTAGGAATCACATTACCTAGAGGGCAGTATGACTTAGCACCTGCAGTGGGGAAGGGGGAGTATTTTTCTGCACCTGGGGAGGGAATGAGGTGACATCTAAAGCAGGAAAAATATAACTTATGAAAAGAGGCAAGAAGCATTAACTGAAGCAAGGGAGTGATATTTAAAGCAATCTTACATGTATAAGCAAGCTTAATCTACATCACAAGCTGAGCCTCTCTCCCACTCTCTTCCTGCAAAAGAAGGCTTTGTTTCCTTTCTCCTTCCTTCTCCTTTTAAAGATTTATTTATTTATTTATTTATTTATTTATTTATTTGGGATACTTGTATGCTGCCCCATTCACATAAGCCTTGGGGTGGCTTCCAGCAAATAAATAACAATACAAAAAAAATAAAAATAAAAATTGGACACATCCAGGCAATAAATAAAGCCAATTAAAATAACGTTTAAATAAAAAGGTCTTGGCCTGGTGCCGAAAAACAAATAACGATGCTAAAGATTTCTTTAGCATAGACCATGTGCTGGGTGTTGTACGGAAGATGCAAATGCGACTTTTGACAGGAGTGTTTTTGGAAGAAAGATGGGGATTAGCCGTGGGGATGGAGTGTTGCCTGAAGAGCAAGCAGCAAGCCATCGGTGATGGATAATAAGTTGCTCATGGACTCCATCCACCTCCTACTCCATCCCCTGCCTGCCTTGTGTGTCCATCAATAACGTCAGCAGAACTCACAAACATTGCCCTCCCAGACACCCTCTTTGGTGTTGTGACCCGCAGAAAGCAGCTAAATTTGAGGTAACAGCCCTATTGGCTGTGCCTTGTGATAGATGCTGGTTAGTGTTATTGCTCTAATCTCCCTTCCACATCCCTGCGGCTCAGGAAACTAAGTGCCTGATCAATTTGTCCACAGAGATTCTGTCAGGTCGTTTATGCTTATCTGGACCTTTTCTCCCTCTCCCTCTCCCTTCCTCTCTGATGAACACGTTGCGTTTTCCTAATCTGAATTGGATCTAGCTGTCACGTGCAGGTTGCCTAATGAGACTTCCAAGGAGAACATTCTTCCTACATTCCCCCAAGAAGGCCAGTGAGGCAGTGCTGTTGACAGACGTGTTCTGCCAGAGAGAGAGAGAGAGAGATCCACTTAGATGTCCTTACTCATCTCCACAGAGGTGGAGTCCACAATCTGCCAAAATCATGTGCCCCCTCGCCAATTTCATCAGGACATGTAATTCAAACCACGAGGACCCATAATTTCAGTGTGATTCTAATATTCATTGGATGTGCTTGTTAAAATATTTTGAAAGGCTTCATGATCAGAAGGAAAACAGCCTCACATTCATTCTGTTGTACAAATATGCTTTCCAGCAATCTGATCTTGTGCTGTTTTGTACAATCACAATGCTAAGCATTGGACTCAAAACATGTGCATAGCCCATGGGGAAACTAACGCTTGCTTCATCCACATGGATTCCTCTCCTTCTCATCCCATTCACACATCCCCAGAGAACCATGGGAGACCACTGGCCATGTTCAGGGGCCGTGCCCTCCAGCAAATGGAGACCCATTGGAATAGGGGATTCTACTCTACCATTCTGGTGAATGGTCTTTGCAGGCACAGATCCCATTAACTTAGCCACAGCTCCACTCATGTTCTGTATCCTATTTCACCAGTGAGCATCACAGAAAGTACCAGTTTCAGGTACTCAGCTCTCTTAGAGATACAGTATTAACAAAGGTTAATACTTTGTTGGCATTTTCCTTCTGTCTACCATTTCCCTACATTAGTCTTCCCCAACCTAGTGCTCTCCAGATGTTTTGGAGTGCCACTCGGAGAATTCTTGATCATTGGCTATGCTGAATAGGACCTCTGGGAGGTTGTTCAAACATCTGGAGGACAACAGTTGGAGGAGACTGCCCTATACATTTAAGATGTTTTGAAAGTGAGACATTCCTTATGAACTCTGCTGACTTTTCCTTCTAAGCATCTCTCTCTCTCTCTCTCTCTCTCTCTCTCTCTCTCTCTCTCTCTCT